GGTCGCACCAGGAGCATTTGGCCTGCTGATCTAAGCTGAGGAGATCAGTAAGACAGCTGGGTGCGGTATTATTTATGATTTTAAAAGCGAGCAATAAGATTTTAAAATCAATATGATATTTAATGGGGAGCCAGTGCAGGTCAGAAAGAACTGGAGTAATAGACTCAAACCTACTAGTCCCAGTTAAGAGAACGAGAACATTTTGAACGAGTTAATTATGTACATGTTAGTTTTATAGTTTAAATGTTTCACAAAAGGTTTCTGTAGAAGGTATTTAGACATGTTCACATTTTGCAATTTTTAAATGAATAAGAAATGAAGTTTACCCACAGATAATAACCCGTTGAGAAAAAGTGCAAAAGTATGTCTTAATATTGCTACCAGGTCTTACTTTAAAGCCTTTATTAATATCCAGCATTTGGTGTTGGCAATACTCTGAAAGTTTCAATGCATTCTCTTTTTCCAGTTGCCAGCCTTTAGTCATGGATGACCCGTGTTTGAGTACATGCTTGTTTTTACCTACCTTACCAGGTTTGGAGTATGGTACTTCTTAATGTCAATAAAGCTTTTGGTCATTTTTGAACAAATACCTCCATCGTGCCTGAGTTATACTTACTCAAACACACAAAGCAACCGTTGACCTCCCATCAGGTCTTCAGTGGAAAACCTTTACCTTAAATTATCAAGGTCAGACTGAATGAACAAAATCATTTATCATTAAGTGGTCAAGTGGAATTTCAAAGATTGTTGGATTGGTACATGGATTAGAGCTGTTTAGAAATCTTCAGACAAGGAGATTGTAGGTCAACACCCTCTGGCTATGGGTAGGGTCAGAGAGTTTTGAAATTGGCATGATTTAAAGGTACCTGCTGAAAACAAAATTGTGTATTTGATAAGTAGAATATTCTTTTTCATTTGAGACATCAAAAACACATTTTTACACGCCTACATTTAAAATGTCGGTTAGAAAGTAGGAAAAGCTTTGAACTTTTGATAGTATTAGAGCACAACTCAGTATACCTTTTAAATTACAAATGACAAATTCTGAAAATGTTAAGACGTATAGTAATCATTCACAAATCTCAAAAGCTTATAGTTTATTCAAAAGAAAACATTAAATTTATAAACTGAGAAAACGTACGCATCTCCATGTTTACCACTACGTAGCTCCCCCTCTTCTTTTAACAACAGTCCATAAACATCTGGATTCTGAGGAAATTAGTTTCTAGACCTTTCAAAGAGCAGTGTTCTCCCATTTTCACCAGGTGTAGGATTCTAGCTGCTCAACAGTCCTGTGTCATCTTTCTTTTTCATTCATTGTTTCATGATACATGAAATTCTTTTTAGTAGTTGGCAGTAGTTGGTAAGGCTAGTTCTTCAACTACAATCTACACTACTGTCATATATGCAGCAGGCTGTTTAGCACATATTGATGAAATATGTAATGAATGATAGATTTGTGGATGGCATGGTGAACTGTGGTCACAGTCAGTCCTTTCTAAGAAAAAAATATATATAGTGTAGTTTAAATGACAGCTAGTGTCACTAATTTGCATGGTAAGAGTATCGTCCTTAAAGGAAACCACCAATCACCAACTATCAAGCTGTATGATATACATGCACTCCCAGCATGCTATTATAATAATTTAATTGAAATTGTTTTGGTTCTTTTTTAGTTGAAAACAACGTGTTTGTGTCTGATCATGTCAGTGATATTAGCTGTATGTCAAATTTGAAAATTTTGGTGACCACCAGAATATTTAATGCTACCAAATTTACTGTTAGTCATATTTTTTTTTTTTGGTAAAAGTTAAACGATAGGACACAAAACAAAGATCTAATCAAAGTAAGAGCCTATTTTTATATTTAGGAAATGAGTCATGTCTTTGAAAAGAAGAGTTTCTAGGACATTTGAATCTTTGTTTTATTTCTGAAAGATTTGTATACTTTTCCAACAAAACATCTACAACTGGCTGCAAGCTACATATTTTTTGATCAGTTTGATGTCATTCAAATTAAATAACACAAATAACATGATAATAGTAATTGGTAGTGATGTTTGAAGAATGGACTGCGCCTTTCTGAATTGCAGAGATTAGCAGGTTTCATTCTTATACAATAACAAATGTTCTTTTCTTAAAGCAAAACACACAATATATAATTTAGCTAAATTGAATTCACTTTCTTTGTTACGTCTTGAGGGAAGCATCAGAAAAGAAGGAGGTAAGAGGATAAGATTTAGAACAAAACTGGAGCTGCGGTTGTCTTGACCCGGGGTGTAGCCCAGGTTAGATCAGATTTCACTTTCAGAACGTGATTGGAAAAGAGGTATAACTGTTTCTTTTCAATTTATCCCTTTGTCTCAGCGCAATTGTATATATACATGTAGACCATATATGACTTTGCTAAGTTTGTTACATTTGGTTTTTTTAACAACAACTATCTCAGTTAAGCAAGTCAAACTAGCAACACAAGCCAAAATCCCCAAACAACAGGCCTCTGGGTATAGATGAGGAATAAGGTTAGCACTCTTTCATCTCCAAGGTAGATCCCTGGACTAAGATTGTTTTTTTTTTCTTTTTCTTGCACGTTCATGTCTTTGTAGATGTTTTGTATCTTTTAGCTTAGTTTTGTACATATTAAATCTTATTCTGGGGTTTTTACTCTTAGTGTTTATACATCCCCTAAAACAGTATTTTGGAAGAATGATAAAAATCCTCTGCAGTCACCAGATGTTGTGTTTCCTTTCTTGAGATACTAGGCCTTTACTGCAGCCACTTTCTGCCTCCAGTTTTGTCTTCAGAAATTGAAAAGCTGCTCTGTGGGGTTGATATCAGGTGGCTGAGTTGGCCTTTGAAGAATATCCCATTTCTTTGCGTTGAGAAGCCCTTGTGTTGCTTTTGCAGTATGCCTTGGGTCATTATCATATAATCGATAAACACTGGTATGCTTCAGACAAGCTGTTTCTCTCTTCCTGTCATTTTGGTAGTTAATCTTTGTTTCATCTGTCTATCCATTCTCCTCAACTCATGGGTCACAGAGGGGGCTAGAGCCTCTCCCCCCTAGGCATGTCTTTGGACTGTGGGAAAAACAGAAGTACCCCTTTAGGGGAAGAGAGATAATATTGCAAATTCCTTAAATAAAGGCCTCAGTCAACTGGTGAATACAGCCTAAGGGCCCTCACACTTTGAGGTGTTAACTGCTGACTGCTGAACACCGTTGTGCTCCCCAATTCTAAGTCACGTTCCTGCATTTAATTTCAAGAGCTGTAGAGGCAGTTTTGATTGGTGTGTAGCTGGAGGAATAGACACTCTCAAGGTGAGGGAAAACTTAACCACAGTCACACACATATATGCATTTTAAATCAATAAGTGGAACTCCTAAAGTTAATATTTGATCTGCTGTAAAGGTTGAGCTGGAGCAGGAGCTGAGCACTGACATGACTGGACTTTGTGGAAAATGCAACGTAACAGGTGTGACCTAAATGATAACCAGACACTTTATAGGAATATTTTAGGTTTTCTTTGCAAATGATAACAGTTTTTTACAGACACTTTGCTCAAAGAATGCACCTTTTCATGAATCTAGGCACTGAGCAGCAGCTGATCAGAGGGAGCACGCTTACAGATGACACGTGCCAAACAAGGGATCCTGTCTCTGTTCCTAATCCAGTAGGTTCACGTGGTTTACATTAACTTGTTTTTTTTGTTTGTAATTTTGTTTCTGTATACAAATTTGAAAAATAGACAGATGATTCACTAACACATTATAACGGGTCAGTTATGCAGTCGTTATGAATCTGAATTTCTGAGACAACTGTATTTACAGTTTTCAAATAAAATGTAAGAATGTCTTTTAAACTACCAGGTTTGTGAACATTTCTTCTCCTACACTTTGGGCTGTCTGCAATCAAGTCGGCTTCATTACTTCCAGCTGTGTCACAAAAACATTTACGGATGTGAAAACAGTGAACACATAGGCTGTGCTTTCTTTAGAGAGATTGTTCTGCACTGTGGAAAAAGCAGTAATGTGTGGGAGAAATGGAGATCTGTGACCCAGTGTGGTAACTAATTGTTTAAAATACTAATACTAATAACAATAAGTGGCATATCCTGTACCCACCATAATTTGATGTAGCTGTCCCTGTTTTGGTGGATGAATGTAGCTCGACCAACTTGTCCGGGAGCACTGCTTTATGAAGAAGAGGGTGCTGCATTTGTTCCTACCTGCTCCAACCCAAACCCCCATTTTTCCAGCCAGGATATCACCAGTTCCTGCGTCTGCCCAGAGGGTGAGCCTTGCCAGAATTTCCCCAGGGTATAAATCATTGATGTGTTTTGTTCTTGTTGTTGTTTGTTTGTTTGCCACATTTTAAGGCTGTCCTGAACATGTGCATAGGCAAAGTGCTTAATGATCACTTGGATGGCTTCCACTGTGTGAATGTGTCAAACTGCACCTGTGTGTTCGCTGGCAGGACCTGGACAGAAACGTAGCACCAAGTGTCAGACATGGTAAGGACCCAGATAAAGGGATTTATATTTATGAGGATTTTTTTGTGAATAATGAATTGAAATTATTTAAACCTCTTCATCAACCCTGTCTCCAGTTTGTGTGAAGGTGGGAAGTGGCGTTGCTCTGAAAACTGCCCAATTAAATGTCAGATTGAAGGTCAGTTTGTGTCAACATTTGACGGCAAACAGTACACTGTTCCTGGTAAATGTACATACCTAGCATTACAGGTAATTTGTCCTCCTCCCCTTTTCATTAATATGAATCTTCTCGAGTTGCCTGTGTTAATAACTGCTGGTTTAATCGTTTATGGACACATGCAGGGCTTCAACTGGACAGTAATAATTACATTTTCTAAAAAGGATCCATCAATACAAGCTGTTTTCCTCCAGCATTTGCAGGTAAAGACAGTCTTTCAGCACTGAAATTAAAACCATCAACATCTAACTAGCAAGCATAAAAAGTAACCTTGAATACCGGTTTTTATTTTCAGGAAACGTATACATTCACAAACAACATGGCTAAAGTTGGAGACCAAGAGATTAGTGAATTTTATCAGTCTGGTAATTTCATATAAATTGTTTGGCAACCTTGTAATAGAAACATGCCTTAATGCCTTAATTACTAACATTATATTATCTTACCGATTACCTTTTAGATGGGGCCCAGGTTTTCTGGCAGTCCTCTATGTACATTCATGTCTTGACATCCTCTGATATTAAGCTCCAACTCCAGATGTCACCTGGAATCCAACTCTACATCTCTGTTCCTAGGAAACACAAGGGCATCATTTCAGGTTGGAAACACGCTGGTGATAACACATTAAACAGCATCATTGGTTGGCACGATCCACTTTGATCAGTCAGTCTATCGTTCAGGTCTTTGTGGCAACGGCAACAGTGACGGCACAGACGACTTCACCAGCAGCAGCGGCATCATCGAGCTCTCAGCTGAACCTTTTGCTCTGTCCTGGAGTCTGGGCGCTTGCACTGTTAACATACCCAGTACATGCATCAACACTCACAATGGTACCAGTTAATATTCTAACTGTAACTAAAACTGAAAAGGCATGTATATGTTCAAACACTGCAATGCACAACGGGAATTATAGTGGAGTTCAGCTTGATGACAAAATTGACATTTCGGTTTTCATATCAATGATTATTGTGGTGTGAATTATAAGGCAGCACAGATTTTTATTGGTAGTTTGCATGCTTGCCTGTGATACAGTAAAAAAAAAATCCCCACAAGATATGTTCACAAACTAAAATTTCATTTTCTAGAAATATTTGCTGATGAAAAGTGTTCTGTGCTGATCAGTGCGACTGCCATATCTGCTAAGTGCCATGTCCATTTGCCACCGGATCAATACTACACAGTAAGCACGCATTATGAGCAAACAGCAACTTTGTGTAAGTTAATTTGAGTTATCAATATTAAGGTGAAAATTGTATTTGCTGGCAGGCCTGTATTCAAAGAACCTGTAATTGTGGCAACAATGTGCAGAGGTGTTTGTGCATTGCATTAGACAGCTACGCCAAAGCTTGTGCGAGTCTCGGGGTTTTGATCGGTGACTGGAGAAAAGCTGCCAACTGCAGTAAGTAAACTTTATTCACACACCAAAGGGTTATATAATATATTGAATATATTAATAATGTTAATACCAGACACATTAGGTTTAGACTTTTTGGAGAAGAGCCAGTACTGAGATTTTTTTTTAAAATTCAAAATAACTAGTCAGAAAAGATGAAATCAATGTTTTTCATGTTTTTAAGAACTTGTGCACACTACAAATGTAAAAGTCTGTCTGAAGTGTTTGGATTTTTGAGGGAAGCAAATATTGTGGAACTTTGCACAGCAGAAAATGTGACAAATTACTTTTAAAAAAGTGCCATTCGTGCTCATCACATTGTTGTCTCACAGCTCCGACATGTCCAAAGAACCAAGAGTTCTTCTACAACATCTGAGCTTGTAACAGTACGTGCCGCTCCATTACTGAGTCTGACCCTCGATGTGGAGTGGATGATGCTTCTGTGGAGGGCTGTGGCTGCCCAGAAGGAACATACCAAAACCAAGGAAACACCTGCACTCCAAAGACAGACTGTGAATGCCACCATCGTGGTGGTGTAAGTCCACCAGGGCCGGTTGTTATCGATGGACATCATTGGTGAGATGACCCTCTAATTACACAGTATTTATAGGTATTTAAAATGATACAGTATCATTTATTACAAGAAACCCACATGCCTGTCACAGGTTTGAATAAACTTAAAACACCTGAGTTTCCTAATGTGTTCTCAGC